TAGGATAGTATACTTGGGGGATGATCGTACACACAATGTGGAGGGAGTAGGTGATAGTGCTATTAGGATGCATGATGGCATTATTAGAAGAAGAAGGTTTTGATTTCAGATCTCATGTTGGTACTTTAAATATTTGTAAAGGTTTTCTAGTGGTTATGAAATGTCCTAATATAAATGGACTATATGTTGTTCAAGGTGAAGCCAATGGTAGCAAGGATTTGGCAATATTTTCTTAACACAAGAGGAAGGGACACATTGAGAACAAAGGGTTGAAATATCTTAGTGACCAGAATTTTCTTGATAAGGATAGTGTTACACTTTTAAGTTTTTGCAAGACATGTATTCTAGGAAAGTCATACAAGGTTAGCTTTAGGATAGGTGAACACGGCACTAAGAGACTATTGGACTACATTCATGCATGGGGTCCATAAAAACATCCCATACATGGAGAGAATAGATTTTTTCTGCCCATTGTTGATAACCACTCGAAGAAAGTTTGGGTGTATCTTCTTAAATCCAAATCAAAAACTTTTAGTATGTCTAACTCCTGGCTTGCCTTAGTTGAAAATCAAATGGGAAAGGGTGTGAAAACTATTAGGACAAACAATGGTTTAAAGTTTCACAAATTTGAATTTGATAATCTCTGCAATGGAAATGATATAATGAGGCACGGGACTATGAGACATACCCCCCAACAAAATGGGGTGGCAAAGAGGATGAATCGGACTTTAATGGATAAATCAAATGTATGATGATAAGTTCAAGATTGTCTTAAGGTTTTTGGGATGAAGCCGTGTGTACTGCTGCCTATTTGATAAATAGGTCACATTCTAGTTCTGTTAACTTTAAGACTCCCCATGAGTTGTGGTATGAAAAAATCCCAGATTTTTCACACATTAGAGTGTTTAGTTGTGCTGCTTATGCACATCAGATTGAAGGCAAATTGGACCTTAGGGCTACTAAGTGTCATGTTAGGTTATCCAGAAGGAGTGAAATGATATAAACTGTGGGTTTTGGGTGTGAAGGACATTAAGGTTATTAATAGTAGAGATGTGAAGTTAAATAAATTTGATATGCATTGCCTTAAAAAATAGACAATTCGAACAAACAAACCGAGGAAGGGAAATCTTCTACTGGAAAGAAGATGGAGTTTGAGGTGAAGAGATTAGATGATCATTTAGAGGATAGTGAAATCCAACCTCAAGAATAATCTGATCAAGAAGTAGTGATAGAACAATCAGAACTTGAAATTCCTGAAACTGTTGTCTCTAATAAAGTAACATTTACATGTACTAATTTGGATGACTACCATTAATGAAGGATAGGGAGAGAAGACATGGGAAGCCATTATGAAATACATCTCTTCAAATTTGACGGAATTTGTCCTAGTTTCAGGTGAAACCTTGGAATCAGTTGAACCGATTTCATTTGAGGAAGCGATTACTTATAAAAATTCTGAAAATCGGAAAAATGCTATGAGAGACGAGATCCAGTCTCTAAACAAAAATAAGACTTGGAAGTTTGTTGAAAAACCAAATAATCAAAATATAGTCCATTGTAAATGAATCTACAAGTTAAAAGGAGTATGACATAAAGACCCTTTAACGTATAATTATAAATGCAGAAAATATAATAGAAATTACCATAAATTTGGGATTCTGATAATCCTCTATGTGAACGGTATCATATCGCCCATTGCACAAGTCAATGCCTCCAACAAACGCAACAATCTTTCTCTTGAAATTGATTTTTTGAAAAAAAAAAAAAAAAAATCGCGCTATTTTTTAATTAAATATTTTTNAAAAAAAAAAAAAAAAAATCGCGCTCATTTTTAATTAAATATTTTTCAATATATATATATAGATATTCATATTTTCATAATTTTTTTCGTACTTTTTCACCATATTTATTAACAAAAATCAATTCTCAAAAAATTAACTTGAACTTAATTGGACCTTTTATGACATCTATAATATATTAAAGATCACATCAAGTGAGAATCATTTTTGGACAATTTTAATCCTACTATAATTCAATTATTTCAATAATACTTTATTTTTCTTTTTTCAATATGTAATAAATACTAAAAAATTATTGTCATGTATGAAATTTTTATTATTAATTCTCAATTAATTAACTCTCACATTAACCTAAACTCAATTAATTTTGACTTGATGAATTTAGATCTACATGAATCTGAATTATTATAGATGAATGAATTTTATTTCTATTCATGTATCTAGAAATTTTAATTGGTGTTTAAATTCATGTATTAGCAATTAATTCTTATGTATCAAATGTAGTAAAAAAAAAGGTTGTTCATTTGTACTATTTTATCATCAGAAAAAAATTTGAATCATAGAAATTAAGTTTTGAGAATATAATTTTCTGTTCTTAAATTTCTATTCTAAATTTTATTTTCTCGTTTGAGACTCGTCAGATCCTCTTAACAAATTAGTATCACATATTAATTTTATAGTACCTATTAAGTATCTCAAAATAACGTGCAATGCACGTTCAACTCTAACTAGTTTCAATAAGGTTCTACATCTTAATAGGTTGTATCGAGTGCCAGCGGGTCCTCAATTCACATGTCTAAATAATGTTATGCAATACTTTTGACTTCCACAACCAAATTTCAACAATTCCATCAACAAAGGGAAAAACAATCTTCTAAAAATCTATTTGAATGTCAATTCGAAAAGGTAGGAATTTTAGAGTTGAATTGATGGTAAAATTAAAAAAAATTAAACTTGAGATAAATCAATCATTTCTTGACTTGCTTGATTTGTTTCTAATTTTATGATTTCTATACATAATTGAATTAGTTCTCAAATTTTTTATCAAACCGGCCAGTCCGATCAAATTTGACATTAGCAATAATGTTAACTATGAAGATGGGGGTATCGAAGGTGCTTCTCCTATGCTCCGGTGACCTGAAAAAGGGGATGCGGAACTCTTCTCGGTTCTCGAAGAGTATAAAGATCAATCTATTTTATAAAGAGAGGAATATTATATAGAATAATGCTAGAGGTACATAATGATGCACATAATGGTGATGTGTCAATTATCCAATTATTAATGTGTAAATGTGAAATTTGAATTAAAGGTTGGATTATATGCCACTTGTAATTATGTCAACCCTTATGTAGATGCTTATACCTGTAGCATTACTCTATTATATATATTCAAACTTAAGTATTTGAAGAATAAATTTGATGCAGAATCCTTCACCCTCAAGATTTATTTGTAGAGGCTTCCTTGAAGCCGAGGTTTATCTTGAAGACATGACACACGGGTCTTCATCTGAGACCTTTGGATTCGAGATGATATGAATCCTTATCCATTCTTAGAAACATGGACCGAATCTATGAAGCAAATACAATGCAAATTATTAATAAGTTAATCATCTTCAAACTATTCTAGTGGCCGGGTTGAACTCAAAACAATATTGCCGCGTCATCCATCTATCAACAACTGTGTCAAATTTAATGCACAAATAATTTAATTGAACTCAAAATTGACAATTGCAGACGCAAAGAACATGTACATGTCTGATTGACCTGCATTATGAGAATGCTAGCCTAGCTCGTGCCCCAACACAGTGTCTTACACACTTCTTAGGATATGTTTGGGTCGGATTAAAATCTGATTTTAATCCATGTCAAAGTCAAACAATCAATATTAACCACATATTTCATAGATCTCACATCTTTTCAACCACACATTTTAAAAAACTTATATCACAATCCACTAAAAATCTAATTTTAATCTCTATCAAGCACCCTCTAAATATGTTAAACATAAAATACGAGTAGACTTAACTAAGAAATAGATATAAATTTCCTATGGCACCAACCTTTTCTAAAAAAGTTGCTTTACTTCAAAAAAAAATTAAACGTTATTACTAAATAAGTAACTTACAAATAAATTTACTTAAAAGTAAATGATTTTAACTTATACAAAGTTCGAGATATAAATTTCTCAAACTATAATTAAAATATTTCCCAACTCTCAACCAATACGTGTGGCTAGTGAATTAAACATGTACGTGGTGACCTATGAACCGTGCACCTATTAATACTCTTAACTTCAATAAGAAGTTTGAACTTATTAAAGCAAATGCCTCTCAACCCCTCATATTTGGACACGCAATTATCAAACCATTAACACCACAAACTTTCACTGTTTCACACACTAATGAGGAAGGCCGAAAGTACACTCACTAAAGTCAAGAATGCCAGTTTTCAATGTTTGGGCATCCAAGCCAAGAAAAAGAAACAAACCCAACTTCAAAGTAGAACCAAAAAAAAAAAAAAAAGAAGCAGCAAGAGTTGGAATTGTTCCAAAAAAGGGCTAAAAAAAAAAGTAGGACTCTGAGGCTATATGCCTATATGCTTATGCTTTTTTTCTTTTTAAGTTCTCTGGAATTGTGAAGCAAGATCTGGAGCTTCAAGATCTCTCTAGGTTTCTGGGATGGGCACTTTGACTGCTCCTCCTCTGTTGCTCCCATCAAACCTCAAGTCTAAAGAGGAAAGTAGTTCTTTCTTGGTGCACAGAATAAGAATAAGGAGAAGCAACAAAACCAAATCTTTAGTCCCCGTAACTTTCTTCTTCTTCTTCTTCTTCCTCTCTCTCTCTCTCTCTCTCTACACACACATATAATAGATATATATATCTGTAAATCTGTAATCACTTTTTTCTTTAAAGAGGTGGGTTGGGTTAACATGTTAATCTTATCCAGGTGGCAAGATTATTTGGACCAGCAATATTTGAGGCATCAAAACTGAAGGTATTGTTCTTAGGAGTTGATGAGAAGAAGCTTCCAGGGAAGCTTCCAAGAACATATACACTTACACACAGTGATATATCCTCTAAGCTCACTCTTGCCATCTCTCAAACCATTAACAATTCCCAGGTAATTAATTAAAAAACATCAAAGTTTTCTAATTGAATTAATGACTGCTAATTATATTCTCTTATTCCGTTATTAAAACAGGTGTTTTGCTGTTAAAAGTTGTTTATAGTTAGAATAACTATGCTTGAACAGGCTCAGGCCAAAAATGGACCGATCAGTATCTGTTTGTTTTTTTTTTAAAAAAAAACTGTCCAATCATATTTCGACACTTGTCCCCAATTTTTTACCCTGTTGTTGAGCCAGTTTGTTTAGCATAATTGTTGTAATTAACCTTTCGAGTAAGGATGAAAACATTCGTCTACGGGGTTTTACACTCCCCTCTCATGATGGGGAGGCCCACAATCAATAAAATAATTGTGGGCTCCCCTATTATGTGGGGGGAGGTGGGCCGAGTAAACGGGGGTGTAAACCCCGTGAATGAATAGCATAGTCCTTTGAATAAAGCTATTTGTACATATAGCAATCTACAGATGATGACATGGCAGGCATTTTCCTTTCTAGTGCAATGTGAAAGGTGTAAACAAAATTGTGCAAGTAGGAAGGTGCTAACCTTTTTTGGGTTGTGTTAGATGTACAATCAATCAATTACCTAATGCATTACATCCCCCACATGGGCCCACGAATATTTTATTGTGTGTAGCCGTCCCTCCATGTGAGGGGATATAATCTATTATGGAATAGATTATGTACATTTAGCCCCCGTTTGAGCCCCATTTTTTCTCATTCCATTACATTAATTTTTTCTCTCTTCATCTCAACCACACATTCTCAAATAAAATAATATTACACGCAAATCTAAAACTTTTCCACCACACATTTTCCCATTAATCACTATTCTACAAATTTTCAACCCCAAGGGGCCAAACAGGGGCTTAGACTAATCCACCTTTTTATTAGATTTTTCTAGAGGAAGAAAAGTTCCAACACGAGCTGCAAGCTAAGGGACTATTCTCTTTGTGTTTCAGTTTTGTGTTTTGAGTTTTAAATTCATTTTGGATTTTGTGTTTTAAATCTTAATTTTGAGATTGCTGAAAATGTGTTCTTTTTGATATTTTGAAAATTGTTTTGAAAACTCCCAAAATGCGTTTTGAAAATTTTGGCTTGATTATAATTGAACACACCATTTTCTTTATAAATTTTTAATTTGTTTTCAAAAACGCGTTTTCAAAAATAGGAAAGAGCACACTATTTTGAAACATTGAAAACAGCTTGAAAAAGACCCTAAGTTTTTTTGGGAACCTGTTTTGGAGTGGTGAGTTTTTGAAAAGAATAACGAGCCCAAAAAGGCCTGATTAGACCACTAGGTTGAGTCTATTCCAACATCAAAAGTTAGTTATAAAAGTGTCATGTGGATTGTGGGAACAAATACCTAACCTAACGTAGCTCACATACGTTCAAAATGTGGAGTTGGACATTGTCATGTGGATTACGAGACATCAATACCTCTCACCATAGTTCGCTATTAATTGAACACTATCGTCTGATCTTATTTTACATCACTAGTTTGACAGATATTTTCTCGTGCTACAAATAACTATTTTGAGATTTAAAGAAGAGAAGGTGGGATTTTGTTGCAGTTACAAGGGTGGTACAACAGACTACAGAGAGATGAAGTGGTGGCAGAGTGGAAGAAAGTCAAAGGAAAGATGTCTCTTCATGTTCATTGTCACATAAGTGGTGGCCATTTCTTATTAGACCTCTGTGCTAGATTCAGATACTACATTTTTTGCAAGGAACTCCCCGTGGTAAGCTCCCCCCTATTGATTTTTTCGCAATATCATGGCACGTTGCGCTTTACAAGGTAACGCTTCTTTATTTTTTTTGAATAAAGAATAGGTATGGTAGGGATAGTGGTTTATTTTTTCAGTGAGCCGATCGAAGTGGATTTAGAGTGTTACATTTAGAGCTTGTTTGGGAGAGATTTTTGAGGGAAGAATTGATTTTGAATAGTGATATGATGGGAAACGTATGGTTAAAAAAGAAGAAAAAATTATTGATGTGATGGAAAATATTATTTTATTAAAGAATGTATGATTGAAAATGAGAATTGATTTACTGTAGAAAAATTTAATCCCTCCCAAACGGGACCTTAGTCTATTTGATGCATGCGAATTGTAGATTTTATTCGTCCCTTGTGAACTATAACGTTAATTAGAGTTGTCGACTTTATAACGAGTTATTGAACTTTATTGAAAAAATTGGTTTGTTTGCTTATTGGTGACGTATGTGAAGTCTAATCACGAGCATTGTATTTGGTTGGTAAAATGTGTGGAAAGGTACATCTTATGTTATGGACGTGAAATTACAGCCCCGTATTCAACTTAAGTGAAATGCAGAAGTAGATTTTCAATCTTTTTCAGTTGCACTTGGATCCTCGACTTCTTAATATTGTAGAACTTGAGTTGTCAACAGATGGTTTCGATCTAACAATATTGTGAAATGGAATTAGGTTTTGAAGGCATTTGTTCATGGGGATGAAAGCTTATTTGACAACTATCCAGACCTACAAGAAGCTTTGGTTTGGGTACATTTCCATTCCAACATACGAGAATTCAACAAGATGGAGTGCTGGGGTCCACTGAAAGAAGCATCATCTCCATCCAGTGGGGCCAATGGGTCCAACAAATTTTATGATGATCATAATCCCCAGCCATGCGAGGAGCCTTGCAATTGTTGTTTCCCTCCAATGAGTTTGACTGCATGGTCTCAAAATGTGGATGGTGAGGGTGAGATTGGAGGGAGCACAATCGATGGCATGCACCAGAAGCAGCAGAAGTTTGTCTCTAGTGGCGGTTCTTGATATCTCATTCATTTAGATTAAAATTGTGTGTAAATAATAATATTAATCTATTAATCATGCTACACTGTCAAATTCTTGACATTTCATCATTAGACCGTTTTGAACATAATCAATTTTTTTATTAAATCATATGTTGTTACCTTGAATTATGTTGCCGCATCTATTAAATTTCTTCTGTCAAAATGGCAAAATCCTTAATCTATCGATTATGGCCTCGTACGTACACCAGGTGTACTGGATTGAATGAGATTGATAAGTTTAAGGAAGAAATGAATTGTACAATATACCCCTGTTTGGTGAGAATTAAAATAAGATTTTTAGTAAACGAAATGTTGACATGATTGTAAACATTGTGTGTTGGTAAGTGTTAATTAGATGAAAAAATTGTCAAAATTTTAAATTTTCCAATAGTCTGTTTCCAACTACCCTAATGTAAAAAATGATGTACTTGTAACATGATTGTTTTAGTAATTTAGATAAAAATTGATAAAATGTCTGATTAAAAAATTGTGAATTTCATCAAACATGTCGTTAAAATTAATTGTTGATTAAAATTAAAGCCCTTATTCGAGTCCCTTTAAAACAAAATAATTTCTCTCATAATTATATTCATCCACACATTGCACTTAAATCCAAATTATTTTTCCACTTTCTAGAAATTATTTCTCAACCTCGATCGAGAATCACAACAGTAAAGAATTCATTTCGCATCAACGCAGATTTTGATACACAGTATGAAAAACAATTTATTTACAATATGAACAAGAAAGCATAATGATTAAATGCCAAACCTCTATCTATCACACATAATGCAGAGGAGACGTTATTGAGCCTTAACCCTGATTTTTGTCCTCTATCAATCATGTAAATTATCCCAAATCGACATTCTGGAAGATGGCGAGGACCATTGTCCTGTACTTGAATCCAACGTATGTTCACTTGGACAAACATCGCCTATTTGCGGAGTAGAATTGATTTCCCCCAGTGACAGAATAAATATCAGCACCAAAGGCTGTTGACGATTACCTTATCTGAGTTCTTCCGAGAGATGAAGCGCCAATTTCACTTTCCGTGTTCTACAAAAAACGGTACATTAGAAGACCATTATGCTGTTGCCTTTCTCAGAACATGACAAGAACTACTAGAAATGAGTTTTATTCGTTTGGAAGAGAAAAGTAAATTTGTTTACTAATTTATTTGATCATTTCTAGCTTAAAACACGGCATTCTCAATCGTAAAGTCCATACAGAAAAGTGTTTACTCGTCTGATAATTCATGAAACAGATTTATTTACCTGAGACTTGGCAGAAGGGAACACATTCCAGAACCTAAGTGTTTCGTCTCCTGCCCCCGTCACAATTGTCTATAAAACCAATAATATCAGTCAGTCATAAATGAAATTCGAAGTTTTAGTGCAGTTATTCTTATATTACAGTAATAATAATAGAAAGAGCATGTGTGGCAAAGCTTAAATAAGTAAATAAGTTTCTTGAATAAATAACTTTTATTGAAGAAAATTGTAATAATTAATTATTTTGACAGTAAAAATAACTTATTTTACTTAAAAGGTCAAGAAAAAAGCAATTCATTTATAAGTTTAGCCAAACATGCTCTTGCAATTAAAAGAGGACGTTTCATTTAATTACCTGTCCATCTGGTGAGATGGCAAGGTAAAGAACTCTGTAAGTATGACCAGTGAGAGTTGCCAACTGCATTAGCAGAAAATAGTTATTATAAGACGATATTGTAAACACATTATACAAATACCGTTCGAACATCCAATTATCTTCAAGTAATATGGTAGATTACAGTACCTTTGACATTGTAGGATATCTCCAAACTATAATCTGGTTTTGGGAGTATCCGTGGGTACTGACAAGTTCATTGACATTCTTGGACCATGCAAGATTGCATACCTGCCATAGTATAACTCGAGTTAGGATCTTTAGTAACTATGACCACCAAAAAGAAAAGGAGACATTTTTCGGAGACTGGTGCACGTTTGTCAGAATGCCAATTGCATTCACCAAAAAGAATAAATTAAGAAAAACCAGAAACATCGATTACATTATATTCATTGCCATACATTCGAAAATTTATATTAATATTCAAATTTGAAAACTGAAAGTTGCTGAAAGGGCAAAAAAGAATTGTACCAAACAGAGGAAATTGAGGGAAATTACAGAAGTAGATATAAAGCCAATTGATTTGCAATCTAATTAAGTGGGAAAAAAAAAAAAAAAACCTCTCCCATACTTTGCCTAGATAGCGTGTAGAACCCTATAACATTGTATACCTATCCCCTTTACTGCAGGTCGACCTTTGCGGCAAGGTCAACAGGAGGGGGCGGTGGGTCTCTAATATTTTCTAGATATGTAAAGGATTATTTTAAGGAGATGTATCCTAAGGGACAGGTTGAGAGTATGATTTTACCATTACCCTTTTTCTTGTTCATAGCGAGAACTTGAAGCAATGAGATGAATGATATTGAGTGAGAACCAGTACGAGTGTTTCTGATTTCATTTCACTTCATCTTGCTATTCTAATTACGATTAGGCCTTATTCCCTATTTCCAAACATAATATGATTAAAATTATTTCAGAAATCTAAATCTAAAGTAGTGACTCAACCTTCCATCCAAGAAACATTTAGCAAAATTGGGAGGTGACACAAAATTAAAAAGAATAAGATGATGACAACAGTTGGGTCAATCAATTCAAAATGAGAAATACTCTGTCAATAGGCGTGATAAAATAAAGTTAATTGCAACATTGTGCTTTATATAGGCACCATATTTCTACCTTTTTATGAACCCCAGAACAAATCCAACAATTTGCCAATTGATGAGAGAAAAATAAAGTTAATTGCACCATTTTGCTTCATATAGCACCATACTTCTACTTTTTCCCAAACCTCTGAACAAATCCAACATTTAGTAATATAATTTTGCGGACTGTAAGAGATTAGCCTGAACATGACTGAAGTGATATAGGATCTAGACCAGATTGAATAACGTTCCACTTGCACAAATTTAATGGTCATCTCTCATTCAATACCTCTAAACTATTGATTTACGCTCTCATCTTTTCCCCACTGATTCAATTCTCCATGGAAACAAAATGCAATTCTTCAACCAGCAAAGAAATGAAATACAAAATATCATAAAAATACATGCACAACGAAAGTTTCACATCTCCTAGCTGGGTGGGGAATGTTGCTAACCATTCAGACAGATATCTGATCGAAATAAGTTATAGCTATTCATTTTGTAAGAGAGTGATATAAAAAAATCAGATCTTAATGATAGGATTTCTCTTTGAATACCATAACATAATTCAAACTTGACAGAACTTTTAATTTTAAACCAAAGCTGGACAAAACATTAAGCAGCTTACCTGACTTCCAGTATCCATGCAACTCAGGTGTGAATTGGTGGTTGTGTTCCAGAAACGAATGCATCGGTCAGCAGTACCACCGCCAGAAGCAAGGAGCCCATGAAGATGGGGTGACCATGCAATTGCTTTTACAGCAGCAGTATGCTCACAGTATTTAAGCACCGGTTGAGTTGAATGCTGGTTCCACACGAATAACTGCAACATGATAAGGCACATCCAATCTGAATAAGATCATGTTGGCTGAGTATAAACATAAATAAAAGTATAGTAGCTTTTTTATGCTGGTTCAAACATGTTTGGGGACATTTTGCAGTTTTCTTACTTGTCAATATAGTCACTTTTTTTAAAAATAAAAAAGGATGTAAATCTTGACTTGCTATTAAAACAACCTACTAATTTTCAATTTTAACCAAAATATTTATCTAAAAATTTTAATTACTCATAGGTAAATTTACATAAAAGGGAACGTTTTAAACTTAAGCAAGCATACTGTAAATTATATCTTTGGCAAACCAAACAACAAGCAAGCATCAGATTGAAGATGAACTACATACTCGGTTATCATTTCCACCAGATGCTAATTCACGGTTGTCATAAGACCACTTCAGTCCACAAACCTAAAACACAGATAGCTCATGTTCAGTCAAGAAAGATACCTAAAAGATGAATAAAGGCATAATTCTACTAATAATATTAAACATAAGCTTTTATACACTACAATGTTTAACTAAGTGGAACCAAGAAGGGTTACTGACCTCTGACTTGTGTCCACTTAGCTTAGTAACAAAATCTTCTTGAGCTCGTATATCACGCTGAAGAATACTCTTGTCCCGGCTTCCTGAAGATAACATAGATGAGCTCCAGGCTAGTGCGCCAACTCGATGCCGATGTCCCTCCATTGTTCTTACCCTCTTACATCGAGAAGCATCCCATATCTTCGTGGAACAAAGTCAAAGAAACAGTTAACTAACTGCTGGAGATAAGCTACATTGTAGTACAAAAGTATAAGCTCTCCGAAATTTATTTCTTCCTTTTGAAGTGCACAATCCAGTTTGACTTTAAAGCCATCTAATATATATATATATATATCAAAGTCCAATGGACTTTCAGGTTATTTTTATTCCAAGTGTGATACATGTAACATCTTGTCATAACAATTACATTTCCAACCCTATGCCTAACTCATTTTACATGGCTTTATATGTAAAGCTGAATACATATTTGGTGTTTTCTCATCCTAGTGGAGCTTAACTTGCCAGTCACCAGTGAGAGATCAAGATCTACCCTACAATGAAGCAAATGGTTTTTAATGCATGCAGCAATGTGCAGACAGATGGATCCTATACTACTCACAATTCAGAATTTGTACCATGTGTGCATAATTCAGAAGCACTTTCACAAAGAGAATGTCATGTGACAATAAAGTATTTCAAGCAGCGGCGGAGCCAGCGCCCGACGAGGTGGCGCGGCCGCCTGTGCTAGCTCCGCCGGAATTTACAGGTCGGGAGGGAGGGTACTGAGCTGTCACCATTGTTGCAGACAGCAGTGAGACAGAGGCTTAAGCATTAAGGGAGAGGGAGGAAGATGAGTGTAGGATTTGGGCCAAAAATTCTTTTTGCTTTGGGTTTTTTTTTTTTTTTTTATAAATAGGCCAGTTAATATTATCCATAGATCCATAGCCCATATGCTCATAACTGATTGCAAACTTGCAAGCCTACACAGAAGAATTCAAACTGTATGCTCTTGATTGCGCAGCCCGATCCGATGCCGAGGGAGTTGGAGTTGTGACCTGCTTGCTACCAGCTGCCAGTCCCCGACGTTGACCTCCACCACTGCCTGCCGCCGCTGTGAGCCTTTCTTCCTCTTCTTTTTATTTTTTTATTTCTTTGTTTCATCATTACGAATTTAGAACAAGTTAAAACGGATGAATTCTGCCGCCCTCCACCACACCAATTTTCACTCTCCCCTCTCGCGATTTCACTAGTGGCACTTTCCTCCCAGTATGATTTTAGGTTTTGGGATGAAAAATTCAAGTAATGAAAGATGGATTTAAAACAAGGAAAACAGAGTAATTCTGCTTTTTGCAATAGCACCATTCCTAGTTAAGTGAATTATTTTCCTGTTCATAAAATATTAACCCATTTGTAAGTTGATAACTTCTATGAGAATACTAGCATATTAACTTTTCTGTTTATCATTTTTACGGTTGAAATATTTTGAGGGTCATTATAGCAATCCATAAGGTCACTTGAACAGGTGCTAAGCCAAGAATAATACTAACACCTAGTTGGAAACAAGTATATATGTTATTAATAATCGACCTCGTTATTACAGCTGTTGACTGTCGATAGTCAAAAATCAATAGTCAACAGCCTCCCTAGCTGATCAACGATCCTAGATCCGCCGTTGCTTTCAAGCATACATGTTCAAAAGTAGTTCATTTCAAATATAACTCACTAGTATTCTGTAATATTAACATTGATTCTTTATTCTTATTATGCTTTCCTGATTGACACTTCTCTAAAAATGAATTACTATATTCAGACTGGTATTCCTATCAGTTTTAGGCATACAGTGTGTTTATTAACTGCTACTATTCTTTTGGATCCTATTCACATTTTACTGCAAATAGAATGACAGATCCCAAAAAATTTCATTTTCATAGCTTTTGAGTGTTTGTTTATATATAGACATGTCATAATTGATAACATCTATGTGGAGAGCCACGTAATAAAAAAGTAATAACTAAAACTTCTTAGCATATTTCGACGTGCTCTTGGGCAAATCAATCTTCCACCAAATGTATTTTATACTACTCCAAATGGTGCAGTTTCAAAATACCTCGTTACACTGCTAAATGTTAATGCACCTATGCACTTTACAGAAAAAAGAGGTTCCGAAAGAGTTCTATATCACACCTGCAGCTTGCCATTGCCAGTTCCAACAGCAAGGTGTGTACCACGCTGTGCCCAGCCGACTGAACAGACAGTGTCATCGATACCCAAGTCACACAGCTTCACTACCTACATATAGCATACCGTTAAAACATGAGATTTGAGTATGTTTACTTGAAATCTTAAAACACATTTATGTAAAGAACAATGAACCTGTATAATTTGATAGTAGGATTTCAGCAAACAAAATAGAGAATCGGGAAAAAGACAAAGTCTCACCTTGCTACTGGAAGCATGCCATAAATAAACACAATGGCTCAACCCTACAGCTAATACATTATGCGAAGACCAGTCTACAAGGTTTAGGTAGAAATCATCTTGCAGTGCAGGGGCGTCCAAAACCTATTGAAAAACACCACCAGACTAATGAGTTCAAACCGTCCAAATAACAAAAACACTCAAGAAAGATAGCCTAATTTAAGATCCTAAATGCATAATCACAAATTTATGGTGAACCTCAGAAAAATACACCATCCCGGATTAAATCAGTGAACACAATTAGCAGATTAGACTATCTAGAACCAACTAAACACCATATTTCAAGAAACTCAATCAGTGAATCAGGAAGAAAAGACCCCAAAAATTTACCTCACAGAAACTTAGAAACGACAAAGTACAATGAACTCAAGAAATCTAATAGCTGGGTCAGCAAATAAAAAAACCAAAAACAAAATCCATAAATTCAAGGACTGAACAATAAGAGACAAATAAAACCCAGAATACACTCACACCAAACGATAACAACGAAAAATAAATAAATTATATATATAAAATTTCAAGAAACCCACATCTTAACAAACCAAGAACGCGTTCAACTTAAAAATCCCAAAATCCAAATTACAAAAATACTAAATCACGAACAGAAAAATAAAATAAAAATTCTACCTTATAAGGGGATCTGGGAACTTTCCTGCGAGTATTAACAGGGCTATGAGACGCTCCAGGGAGCTGGTAATCGAACCCGAAAGGCGTTAAAGAATGCAAAGATTTTCGAGTCTCGGTTTTATACTTAAAAATATTACAATTAATCGGAGTACTCTGCAAAACACCATTATTACTACTGTTCCCACCAATTTTTCCATATAGGTACGATTTTTCTGGGGTCAATGGGGAGAATGTACCACCGAATTCGGGACCAAAAAGGGCAGCCTTTAAAAGGGAATTGTAGGCAGAGGTAGAGTCATCGGAAGAGGTAGAAGAAGGATTGTTTGTGATGTTGAAGAGGGCGAAATTGGAAGACGAACGGCTGGGGATGAATCTGTCACTGTAGATTGTGCGAGGTGAAGGGTTGTGTGGTGTGTGGAGATTGAGGGTTGGTTGGATTCTAGGAGTTTTGGGTTCCATGGAAGATGTGGAGGGAGCTTCCATGAAGGAAAACTGTGGGGTACGGCGGAGGTGGGTGCGTGGCGGTTGGTTTACTGTGTAGGTTTCCCGGGAATATTAACAGGAATGAGGAATACTGCGGCGAAATTAGAGATGGATACACAGCCCCTTTTTAATACGGTAAAGTGGAGCAATATTTCCTTATTGTTAAGAACCTGCACATGCGTAATTATTTCCTTAATTATTATTACCTTGTGGATTTATAAATTATATTAATTAAAAAAATCAAATTCATCAACAAATCAACAATAGAGACCGCCCCTAATTTTCTTCTTCTTTTTTTTTTTAAAGCTGTTTTAATGAAATATTTATATGGCTCAATGTGTAACATTTGAATCTCAAAATATCATCATATTTTTATATTTGATTATATGATAGAAATTGATGCTACCAAAAATTCGCACCTGAAATATTCCGAACTTGACGACTACAAACGAGCACGGTCTTGATTTTCTTCCGGTACCTGAAACAAAGGTGTCAAGGTATGTCCTCGTCGCTCCTCCGATGTTTAAGTCAGAAAAGGGATTTTAGAAAGTATATGCTGAAAATATGTGTAAAAAACGTACCTGAATAATGAATGAGAGTGGCATATTTATAGTGGTGGGTAATGTAGTTCAAGTAGGATTCATCTCCTTATTTTCAGGAGTCATTGTAGGGATATGTGTGGAATAGGTGTATCCTGTCCTTCTCGTAATTCCATCAAGGGTAGACTCCTTGTTGACCTAGAATTCTTGAGAAACAGTAACTGGGTGGAGTTAGGACACCTTCATAGAAGTGGGCCAGTGACGGTTGATCATGGAGCGTATTGAGGAGAGCCAAGTAAATATCCCGACCACTACATATCCCGAGGACTATTTTCTACAATTCAGAGTCATGTGAGAGATAGTCTTCGAGCTAACTCGAGGACCATACATGCTCGAAGACATGGGACCCCAATTGAGGAAATGGGACCCACGCGAGTCGTCGTGCTCGAGGGATACCGAAAATGTCATCATCACTGGCCTCCGTGCATCTGCACCTCAAGCTCGAGATTTGGGTGAGGATGCAAATAACATCGTCGTTCCTAGGTCGTCGAGAGGATGACTATTATTATTATTTTTTATTTATATAGTTCGATGCAACTCGATGAGAACCTTAACTGCCTTGGATGTTCGGGGGCTAATAAATGTGGTGGTGAATAGAGGTCGTTGGATGCTTGACATGTGGCAAGATCCAAAGGCCCAAGTGGCGACTGTTGGCATTTATATTCATGGCCTATAAATACACCTTTCACTTTTTCACTTTTTACTCACTGTGAAAATCTCCCAGCCATGTCGTGCTCGAGCAATCTCCTTAGGAATTCCTTGGGGCTTCAAGTGATTTGGAGGTAAGGCTCGAGACTTTAAGCTATTTTCCTTAGTTATCGTCGAGTGATGTCTAGTGGTGATGGTAATCGAGGTTATGACAGTTCGGGGAGTAGCGAGGATATGGGAACATCTTTGATTCCAGTGGCTATTCCCTTAGATGCCCGTCCTAGGCACCAAGGACACATCGAGTATAAGGCTCCAGACGAACCCTGTAAGTTTAAAGAACACTTAGCGGTGGCAGCGGCCCGAGAGTTCGGGCTAATGCCTGAGTGTGACATTAGGTCTCCAGACCCCGAGGATATAATGGGTCAAGCTCGGGAAAATGAGTTTGTGATATTTAGGGATACCCTAAAGGCCGAGCTCAAGTGGCCCCTGCACCCCCTTTTTCTTAAGCCTCCTGGTCAAGCATTCTATGTGCCCAGGGCCACTATTGCCCAATGGGTGGAGGATGCTCATCTATTTCTTCATAGCATGTAGGTATTTGGGTTTTAAGCCATACGTCGACCTTTGTCGAATGGTCTTCGAGCTCAAACATCTTCCCCAGTATTCATGTTTTGCATACCTATCTACCCGATGAGGGTTTAGGGTCCCGAGCATGCCGAGCTCGCTTAAGGGTTGGAAAGACAAATGGTTTTACGTCATTACTCGAGATATCGACTTTCCCTTCTGGTTGGGGTGGGGTGTTCCGGATGTCGCAAAGTTTTGTGAGGGTCAAGCGTACTTTGAGTCTCTAGAGAGTCATAGGCAAATGCTCGAGGATCTTGAACCTTTGATGCCATACATGAAAGCCATCCTTGAGGACGAGGTATTAGAGCTTGCTGATGTTAGAGGTGTTAAGGGTAGGGTCTTTACTCTTTGCGTCCTCGTGCTATTCTTCTTGATCATGTGGTCGACCTAATTACTTTTCTTTTTAGCAGGAATGTCTTTCGACCCATCTGCTCTCCGTAAGCACGTCCAAGGCAAGGTGAAGGCTCCTCAAGCTCAGGTTGGTGCCTCGAAGAAAGGGCACAAAAGAGCTCGTGTTTATAAGCGTGATGATCATCCTCGAGGGTCGGGGGAGAGCTCCCAAGCAAGACAACAGCCCCCGAGCCCGAGGCCAACTCGAGCACCGGCGTCATCCCTGAGGGAGCTCCCTCCTCGACGAACTCCCGAGGTTGTAGACCTCGAGGACGACAGCATACCGCCAGCAGCCTCAGTCATTGAGGATTTCGAGCGATGCCACTTGGTCCCGAGCATTGTGGCCAAATATCGGGGCGACGTAGGATTCGACGAGGGAATGAAAGCCCTCGAGCTCTTAACTTTGAAGGTAAGGGCCGTTAACCCTTCTGCAATTCCTTAAACTTATGCTACCGACGTTTAATGATCGGTGTTTGTTGTGTAGACCCTCAGTGTTGCTCGGGGTTTGACATTGCAAGGGATGGACGAGTCGCACAAGATGTCCGGGCTCGTGGAATCCATCGAGCTACATGATAAGAGGATTGAGGATCTCAGGACCAAGCACGAGGCTCTACTCAAGCAACTTGAAGATGCAAAAGGCGAAGTTCGCTTGCCAGGGAAAGCGAGGGTGTTGCGAAAGATGAGGCTGAGGAGTTGAAACTCGAGCTCGAGAAGAAGTGCACTGAGAATGAAGCCCAAATGGCCGATACCAAGGCTCGAGCATGGGACGAATTCAAGACCTCAGCCGAATGTGACAAGCTCCAGGCCGAATATACCTCGGGGGCGTATTTCCATGCTTTCAAGGAGGCTCGAGCCTTCCTACGCTTCTGATATCCCGACATTTCTGTCGAGGAACTGAAGACTGTGCCTAACATCGCCGTCACGCTCGAGCTATCGTCTGAAGAAACAACCAACGAGGATGAGGACGAAGATGTGGAGGTCGATGTTGAGGCTTCTAATCCAGCACCCGAAGAGTAGCCTATGACCGAGCGGTCACTGGCCATGATAATTTTTGTCGTACATTGCCTGACGTTACGGGCCCCTTTTGTTTTTAGAATTTCGCATGTACATTGCTCGACGTTATGGGCCCATTTTGTTTTTAGAATTTTACAAGTACATGCCTGACAACTATGTTCTGTTTTAACTTCGCTTTTTGTGTTTCTATCTCGACGGCTAATTCAGTGATTAGACTCGATGCTCTCGTAATTTATATCTTCAGTCGACGACTTACCGTACCGAGCATGATGCTTACCCGATAATTGATGTAAAGACCTGAGCTCGACGATAGTGTAATTCATGAACATCGTAGAACATAAAGGGCTCGACGACAATAAATTTCGATCATAGGGAGACAACTGAAAATAAGTCTTGAGCTCGAGAAGATCCCAGAGGATAATTAAGGTGATGAGCTCGAGGATAGCTCGTTTAATAATTTGATCCTGAGCTTGAGGATAGCTTATTTCAGAATTAGAGTAATGAGCCCGAGGATATCTCATCTTCAATAATTAAAGTAATGAACTCGAGGAGAGCAAATCCGACAATGTAATCCTGTGCTCGAGGAGAGCCCAGCTTACAGTTAAAGTAATGAGCTCGGGGAGAGCTTAGTTGAAAATTAAAGTAATGAGCTCGAGGAGAGCACATTTAATAATTTAATCCTGAGCTCGAGGAAAGCCCAGCTCAGGATTCATGTAATGAGCTCGATGAGAGCCCATTTAATAATTTAATCTTGAACTCGAGGAGAGCCCAGCTTGCAGTTAAAGTAATGAACTCGAGGAGAGCTTAGTTAAAAATTAAAGTAATGAGCCCGATGATAGCCCATTCAATGATTGTTTCACACCCAAGCACGAGGACTTACAACCGGAGTTTTAGCCAAGTCCTGTTGGGAATGGTTGTGCTCGAGGTAAGCTCATGCATGTCTCGAGGTAAGCTCATGCATGTATGAGGAGTGTTGCTCGCTCTATGCCATGAGGGCCCGTTGGTGACGGGACTTTTGTTGAGATCATGCCCGTAGCATGTCTCGAGTAAGCTCATGCATGT